ATCGTAGCCTCTCTCACAAGTCTGCGACAGGCAACCTATCAGCCTTGTTCGACCCTGACGGCTGGGAGTTTCACAAGACACTCGAGGAGAACTATGGCCAAGTGGTGAAGCTTCTTGGACTACTCGGTGTTGGTGACCTCTCCGCCGAATAATTTGAAAGCTAACCAATCATATTCATCCAGACACCACATCTCTTCGTCTTTGACCCAACAGCGCTACACAGCATCCTCGTACAGGATGCAGCTATGTACGAGGAGACCCATGTCTACCAAAGGTGCGGCTTTCTTCGATCTTGCATTCGCGTGAATTCAGACTTTACGAGCCAGCCTTTACGGTCTTCTCTGGGGTCCCGGCTTATTTGCTTGTGGTGGAGAGGACCATTATAGATACCGCAAGATCTCGATGCCCGCGTTTGCGACTACAAAGATCCGCGAGATGATTCCCATTTTCTATGAAGTTGTGGAAAAGGTAGGTCGCTCTCCGGTTCCACCAACACAGTCCTGAAAGCAAAAGTAGGCCCGAGATAATTTGATCTCCCCGCATCTTATCAATGGCCCGAAAACGGTCGGTCGACAATTAAATACACGGTTCAGGGCAGTCATTGATTTTTAACCAGCTGGACTTGAGCAGTATTTTCAATCGAACGTCGTTGGAGATCATAGGACGCGCTGGCATTGGCTACTCTTTCGATCTGATGGCCCCAGGAGAAGCGCCGCATGATAAATACGCGAATACGATAAAGGAGCTCCTGTGCGGTGCACTACGGGCTTTGAATGAATCCATATATCCTGACCAAAATCTATAGTCCCGCCGTATTCAAAATGGGACTACTCTTTCCCCTTTTGCCGTACGCGACGAAAATCGGATCCTCCGCATTCAGGCGATTCATAGTAGACATCATACCGTGGAAGACGCTACACCGCGCCAGGGACATAGTTGACGAGATGCACACCACCACGATGGACTTGATCTTGTCAAAGAAAGCGGCGGTGGCCCGAGGGCAATTAGATATGGCGGATGATGCTAAAGACATCATGAGTCTTCTGCGTGCGCTCAATTCACTGACCTAGTAACTATGTTGGGTACTCATCTCCCTCCAGTCAAGGGCAACCTGACGGCAGACGAGGGACTGTCCCTAACCGACGAAGAACTCGTAGGACAGACGGGGTGAGGTTTCTCCTTTTTTTCCTGCGGTATCCCTATTTCGTACTGATTCTGTGCTCCGAGTATGATCATCTCGGCAGCAGCGGATACAACATCCTCTGCCCTAGCTCGAATGTTCCACGTTTTGGCACTCTTTCCCGACGTCCAGGAAAAGCTGCGCGCCGAGATAGTCGAATCCTCGGAACACATGGATTTCGATCAGCTGGGATCCCTGCCCTACCTTGACGGATACGTGCACGAGGTTTTGAGACTGTGAGCCAACTCATTACAACGCAACTCAGATTCATCATCCAGTTAGATATCCCCCGGTGACGCCAGTGATGCACCGCGAGTACGTTGTAACAGCGCGCTTATGTCCCAGGCCGTTGATCTATCATCGTCAGGACTCTCAAAGACACGATACTCCCTCTGAGCGAACCGCTGACCGGCATTAATGGCAAGGCGATAACATCGATCCCAATTCCGAAGGGCACTACGGTTTACATTGCCGTTGGTGCTGCGAATCACAATAGGCACATATGGGGCGATGACGCTCTCGAATTCAAACCCGAGCGTTGGCACAATGGGAAAGCTGGCAATCGGATGGAGAAGATTTCTGGTATTTATGGCAATACAATGACCTTTATTGGCGGCGAACGCAGTTGCATGTGCGTTCTTTTCTTTCTTTCTTGAAACTTTGTTACAATAAGACACTCGCCTAGCGGATTCCAGTTCGCTATAATCGAGATCAGTACGTATTCATAGGGTCATTCGTCCATGATAACTATGCTGAAACTCAACAGAAATAGTTCTGTCGGTGTTCTTGCGGCATTTCAGGTTCTCCCTCGCGGATCAGTCTGTGAGCTGGAAAATTCCAGGCATCATTGCGGTACCCATCGTGGAGGGGAAAATTCATCTGCCGCTGACAGTAGAAAATCTGGAGCACTAACATATGAGTTTATTTTCGTCGGTGGTCCATGTCTATGCATTGCTACGATTCATCGAAATATATTGCATGGCCTGCGGCCTGATTCGCATTGTATGAATCCGTTGTGGTGCACAAGACATCAGCTCTTTGGAGACTGAGATACGGACAGTCAAATATTTGGTTCCAGAAAATTCAAACTGAAAATGCTAGGTACATTTATCCTGACACGATTTTACATATCCTTTTTGAGAAAGATTAACTTGTAGTGACGTTTCCACGAAGTTCCGCTCATCCAGACGCGGGGACGATGGCGACGGTGGCCAGCTTGCTGGACGCTAAGGTTGCGCGCTTGTTCAACTCGAGTTTCGACATTCTGACACCATTCGCATCTAACTTACTAATAAACGATTGTTCAATTTCAGCGGCAACGAGAAAGCAAAGAAAAGACGAGACGCACTGAGCGCCCACAACGAAATCAATACTTCTTTTGTCCCATGGTGGTTCAATATTCCTTCGGGGATAGGATAGCTGACTTGAGGACCGAGAAAGGAGAGGAATCTTTTGGAACGTGAGCGATCTGTGAAAATCGAGTCAAATTAAGACATGCCTTCCAAACTGCCATCCGTTAACGTAGATCAGAGTACGATAAGGATCCACAAAGTCCAGCGCAAAATCGAACGCCAGTGGGATATCCGAGCCCATAGGGAGGTCGAGATTGAATGTCGTCCGATAGACCCTTACTCCTGCCTTCGTTGTACCGGTATACAGTGTGCATGACTTGTTCCAGGCAGAGTCGTCTTAGCCGGATCATGGGCCGGTGTGGGTGGCGTTGATTGGTTGGACCCATGGACCTACGCATTTTGGGGGGTACCATTGCGCAACAACGAGGGAATGTGGGGACGAGATTTTTTTGAGAGCAGGTAGAGAATCCAAAGTTGACCGAATGACATGATACTGGGGCCATCATGTTTGAAATTAAAATTGTAACGTAGGTGGGTGTGCAACGAAGACTTTATTTTTAGGCAGAGTACTCTAGATTGCCCTGAGCCGCCCAGCGAAGCTCCAAAGTCACGGTCAACAAAATATATACAGATGCTCCGAAGAGTCTTGGCGCAAATGAGGGCAGGTATGAAGGTGTCGTCTGAATACCCATGGAGATTGGTGAGGCGGATGGAATCGCAAGGGAAGTCCCCATTGTCATGGCCATTCTAGACTATTCCTAGTATAGTTATTGTCTCATGTCGGTCAATAAGTGCGGGCGATCCTGTGGGGACATCTGAAGCGACGGTGTCGCAGCGGCGAGTTATCTGCCGGAGGACGAAAAGGTGGGTGGACAGGAGCCCATTTATCGGGCTGGATGTGATTCACTACAGTATAATCCACAGGAACGTCCGGGTGTAGCTTGTCCTGGGTCATGCACCGAATTTCCTCGTTGATATGTGGTGGACGTTGGAGATATATCAAATATAATAATATGGTGCAAAGGAAAGAACGTGCCAGCGGTGTGCAGCACTAAAAAGATACTTATACGACCCTGCGTGCGCCGGTACGAAAATACGTTGCATGTCACTGGGGCGACTCGAACGCCCTTCTCTCCAGTAATTCGTCTGCCGGAAACTCAGGTATCGGACCGGAGCGATCTGCCTTGATTCACAGGGACGTTCTCAGTCACGGTGGGTGCCTGAATATACACCGAGCCCAAAATTGCGTTGTTCGAGAGCAGTGGATGCGGCGGATTATGGCTGCCTCGGGATGGAAGAAATTCCGAGGTGAGCAAGAAACTTGAAATGGAGATGAAGACAGTGGCTAAGGCAGGTGAATGCCACGCATTGAGCCACACGCATACACACACAAAAAAAAAGGGGATATCATTTTGATTACGTCCTGGGCGGTTCGAACGCCGTCTCTGCTGAAGGTCAATTAATGGATGGAGCGACCTGCGTTCATCAACAGGGACTTGTATTGCTTGCACAGGTTGGTCCCAAATGTGCCTAAGAGAAAGAAGGAAGGAATCAAGGAAAAAGAGAAAAGTTGAAAGACTCGAAGAGTCGAACCTAGTGTCCCCGGAACGATTCGAACGCCCATCTCTCCAGTGATTTTCAAGTTCAAAGTCTATTGCGATGGAGCGATCTCCTTTGATCCACAGGGACTGGTACACTGGATGGCTCCCCGTCTCTCCATTAATTGACCCGTCAACTACATGTATTTCAGTTGAGTGGAGCGATCTGCGTTGATCCACAGGGACTTGTACTGTACAGGTTGATCACTGAAGTTGTTCAAACAAAAATTCTTTTAAAGGAGGAAGGAAGCCAAGAATCAAGGGAAAAGAAAAAGTGGCAAGACTCGAACCTAGTGTTCCCGGAGCGACTCGAACGCCCATTTCTCCATTAATTGACACGTCCTGCTTCAGTTGGGTGGAGCGATCTTCTTTGATCCATAGGGACTGGTACGCTGTATGCTCATAGGTTGACTCTGATCATGTGGGTACGTTCGTTGGCCGCAGGCTGGGCGGACTTTCGTTAGATGCGCTTAAGAAGAGAGAGAGAGAGAGAGAGAGAAATAAAAACGCGAACAAAAGTACTTTGGCTCGGAGCGGCAGAACGAACGCCTGAACCTGAGATCTGAAATGTGCCATACCCTGGAGTGAGCGCTTTCGAGGACAATTTAGCGGAGCCCGAGGTCTTTGAATCCCAGCGCCGGATCCAGATGCGTAGAGCGATAAGATTAAGCATGTGGAATGTCCTCTCGAGAAAAAGGATAGTTTGATGCATTGTCGTCGAGATCCCACGGTCACAGCAGCGAATCGCGTACCTTTCGAGCTTGGTTCGAGCTACAGTCTATGAACCTGATGTAAGGATTTCTGGTGATCCGTACAATATTGATTCGCCGTTGAGACTGACAAAAAAAAAACCCAGATGCCAATTTCAAACGTCCCCGGGGCGACTCGAACACCCGGCTCTCCATTAATGAGCCCCGGCAACCATTACAATTAAGTGGAGCGATCTGCATTGATCCACGGGGACTTTTATTGCTCAGGTTGCACCCTGAATATGCCTTGAGCCTAAACAAATATTTTTAAAAAGGAGGAAGAAAGAAAAAGCTGCAAAGCTCGAATCCAGTGTCCCCGGAGCGATTCGAACGCCCTTCTCTCCCGTAATTCGTAGGCGATGAACCTATGGGGCGGGGGCGATCTGCCTTAATCCACAGGGACTTATCAACCATGGTGGGTCTTCGGATACGAACCATCCCAGTCTAGTCTAGGGCTAATGCCAAGACGAAGACCATCCTGACGCGGGGCGGCGCCCGCGATCATAGAGTCGACATCGGCGTTGACGAGGGTTGCCGAACTCTGAAGAAATATCAGGCGCACAGGAGAAACCATATTATTATTTATTCACCGTTCAGGCGAACCAAAAGAAAAAGAAAACCCATAAAGTCCCTGGGGCTCGAATGCCCGTCTCTCCATGGTCGTAATTCGGTATACCGGGACTAGCCAATCGAGATTTGAAGCAACCATCATGCCCGGCAGCCAGGGCGACAGTTCTATATCATCTAGGGATTGAGATAATTTAAGGTGAGGATAAAGGGAGGGGCGCAACGCAGATCCGCTCTCTATCCCCAACACTCCCTTCTTTTTCTCTTCACAAGCAGTGCTTGTTACTTACTTTGCATTCATTCATACATCTCATGCTGTTCTCCTCAATGCGCGCGGTTTCCGTCATATATGTCGCCTCTGCTCTCGTCTGGGCTGTTTCTAGTGCACCAGTACCGGAGGTTGGAACCCCTGTGTCTCTGTTGAATATGGTGACCCATTTACAGCCCGAGCAGGAACATATGGAATCTTTCAAGAGTCGAACTGGTCTTGACAAATTCTCGGAACTAGACCTTTCAGTGCGCGCCCCGCTGGATATAGGGGTAAGCCCGTCCGTCTTGATCTCCAAAATCATTAGATTCATAGAGATATCTAAGAACGTATCCGTTCCGATTGAGCCGGTAAGTTGTCCCAACTTCAGTTCAATAGGCGCTAAGGTCAGGACTCTAACCGATAGTTCTTCAGAGAGGCCTCGAATCAGCGGACCGCGTCTTCGAGCGGGTGTATAATTGTATAGTTATTTTCTTGACCGGAAGGTAGACGATATTGGGGTACTGCATGTTCGGCAATGATCATCGGATTGCGATACAGCGATCCAAATTTGATCTGAGTCACTTGAGTTAAACCGGTTAAGTTTCAGCGTCTGAAAACGTCGGCTTCTTGCCAGTGTATTTGCTCATCAATACTGTACTAAACCGTAGGTTCAGTCACAGGTCACAACACTGGTTATGAGTAATTATGTTTGCGAATGTCGAATAGAACTCGGTGGAGCAGTCATAGTCTTAGTCAAGATGAACAGATCGCGGGCCCTTCGAGTATGGACATGAGAAATCCTGACACCAACCCGAATTGTCAAGCAGAGGAAACTCGAATGCCAGGCACCAAGTCCTGTTGTTTTGGGATGCATGGTCATGCCCCTTGGGATCGGGAATCAACATTGTCAATGCTGCCATAAATTTTGATAAATGCGAAAGAAACGCAAGGGCTCCAGCCTTTGAAAGCTTCGAGGGGGACCTTGGTGTTTAAACATTGAATCCAAAACGTCAAAATGCTCGGTAAGTATTTGAATCAGAATGTGTTCTGCAGGAACACGCGATTGACTGAGGATGAAGGAGATTTCGAAGGGGTTCCGTCGATAACACAGAAGTCTGGCTTCTCGATAGGGTAGAGATCCGTGTCAAGAAGGAATGCGTCACGGATGCATATATTCGCTATCTGGCTTTCCATAGCGCAGATGCGCAAATTCGTGTTGTCGCTGCCGGAAGGAATAATGCATCAAGGGCGCATAAAGCAGAAGACGCTTTGGGCAAAGGCCTCCCATGCCGGGAATAATGTGTCACAGGCGCAAAAATAGAAGTCTGGGCTCGAAAATCTATGCCTGGAATAAATGCGGTATGGCCGCATGAACTTGCAGGCAGGTTTTCGACACCACAGGATACGCAAGTTCATGTTATCGATGGCCAGGAACGGCGTGCTGTGGAAAACAGAGGCGCATAAACGCCAACGGCAAGACCGCAGTCGCGACGTGTGTCAATTCGGTGCACCTCATTCTCCTCACTGTCCCCCTCCCCCTCAATTCTCATCACCACACCTCGATCAGTGCCCGACTTGTACAGCATGGGGCGCGCTCGACATGACCAAAGGCCTCTTCTAGTACTTCAAGAACGACCTCGGCGACGGCGAGTTCACGATCTCGTGGTCCTACACCGACGGCGACAGCGCACCTCCCCCACCCCCACCTCCTCCGCCTCCGCCACTCCTCCGTCCCCGCCCCCGCCGAAAAAATCATCGACGACGACGAGCCACAGTTCGACCACCACCTCGCACTCCACCTCGCACTCCACCTCGCAGAGCGCAAGCGTGACGTACGTAAGTTTGGGCGCCACACTCACCCCGAGTGCGACCGCAGGCCCGGAGAATATTAAAAGCTTTAGTGAGGCGATGGTGGGGTTGGTGGTGCAGGCGGCCGAGGCGCAGTAGAGCTGCGTTTCGTCTTCGCGCGTCCTGGCTTCGCACGCCGTCGTCTCGCGATATTCAGCAACTGTTACCGCGGGCGGCATACCGTTTACCTGGGCCAGGTATTGTGAGCGGGATCCCGCCACTATTTGGTCGACATTCTTTCTCATCATTAAGGTAGGGTTTAGTTCGCCCATCTTTTTTTCCAGTACTGGGGTCCAGACCCCAAAGGCGTCGACTCCATTACCTATGAAACTACCCAACATACGGACTGCTTTGCCCTCGCCTGCAATGTGAACATCGGGCGGTATTTGGCCATCGTCGGGGTGGAGACATCTTGTTCCGAGGAGGCGCGTTCGGAAAGCAGGAGTTCCAAATGGTATGTTTTCAGTCTTCGTGACGTTGAAGCGTGCCCCGGATGCGAGGCACCACTGGTCCAGTATTTTCTTCAGGTCCTCAAAGCTGTCAAATTCACTCAGGTAGGCGGTAGTGTCATCTGCGAAGAGTTGGACTATCGCCTTTTCTGCGATGCCCGGTATGGAGTATCCCTTTAGGCTGGAGTTTCGCAGCATGGATGCTAACGGTTCAATTGCCAGGTTAAATAGGAGGCATGACAGAGGGTCTCCTTGTCAGACACCTCTCGTCACCTGGAAAGATGAGCTAACCTCACCGTTAACGATAACTTGCGTATCAGCGAATTTATAGAGTGATTTCACAGTGTTAACAAAGAGGTCTGGTAGGCCGTGCGCTCGGGGCGTGTCCCAAAGATATGAGTGTATTGTCTTGTCGTACACCTTCTCCTGGTCAAGCGCCACGATGACCCCATTTTGCAGGTCTTCTTCTGTGTAGTCGACTACCTCCATGGCGAGGTAGATGGCGTCAGTGATTTTGCGACCTTTCAAGAATCCCGACTGGTCTTTATGTATGAGGTACAGCGCAACGCGACCCAGTTTGTTTGTTAATGCTTTAGTGAATATCTTGTAGTCCGAGTTGAGGACAGTTATGGGCCGGTAATTTGCAATATCGGTCTTGTCTTTCTTCTTGAAGAGAGGGCACATCCACCCTAATGAGAAGTCGGTCTCATCGACCATCCCGTGCTGCTCAATGTCGTTAAACACCCAGGTGAGGACTTTGATAATATCATAGGTCTTCTTCCTGGGAGCACTGTCTTTCTCAGGCACATTCGCTTTATTGATAGATTCCAGTCGTCCCCAGAATTCGGTTGGAATGCCATTTATTCCTGCGGCTTTCCCGGACGCTGCCTCCCTGAGAGCTGTCCGGACATCATCCTCTGTGAGTTTTTCAGACAGGGATTTCATATCTGCTTCCTCACTGGTTTGAGGTAGCGAGTCCAGGGCCATCTTACGGGCCTCGTCGCGTAATTCCTGTGCAACATTCATTCCATCAGCTTGGAGGTCGTAGTGATAGTCTCGGGCTATCTCGGCCATCTCGGATGATCTCTTACTACCTCTCTGGGGTGTAATGTCAGTCCTACGTAGGTAGGTCAAAGTGTCTCTTGGCTTTCCATCCTTACTGAGGTTCACAGCGTATTTAGTGATGTGATTTAGCTCGGTGTAGCCTCGAACCTTAGTCTCAAGGCGCTTCTGCCCTTGTTGGCGGTCAACGATGTCGTCTATTCTTTTTTCAATCGTAGCAACCAGCTCCGCCACTTCTTCCTGCGTTCTACCGACTACTGGGCGGTCGCCTCCCCCTTGGGTTCGCTGGTCGGCAGCGGTGTCGGTAGTTTCAGGGTTGTGTTCTGCCTCGGGGGGCAGGGGGTTCAGCCTTTTGTTCTCCAGCAACGTCTCGCGCTCGCTGACCAGCACTTTGTGTTTCTTCTCAGAAGCTCCCACTGCAGTCTTTGCTCTTTTCTGCGCAAATTCTAGAACCGTATCTTTGAAACTTTTAAAGCGGGTTTGCGCATTGGATACATCCGTGCGCGCATCGGGTATTGATTCCTCCAACCTTACGGCCTCTGCCATCGCATGGCTGATGAACTCCTTGTCATACAGGAGGAATTGGGGCATTGCCCATCTGCCTTTACCAATGTAAGGAGCACCTGGTGCAGAGATTGTCACAGACACCATCCTGTGGTCAGTGATGCCCCCGACTGAGTCGTCAATCTCCCAATGTGTGCAATTCTTCAAAAGGTCGGGTGATACCAAGATTCTGTCAATATATGACAGAGTTCCGCATGTACTCGTATGGGTGTAAGCCTTCATGTCGGGGTTTACTGTCCTCCAGCCATCTTTGACCTCCATTAGGCATGTAAAGCGTAGGTACGCAGCATTTTATTTCAAAAGTTAATTTTCTCTTCGTCAGACTCCGTAGGGGCGTAAATCCCTAGGACTGTCATTGTCCTCTTACCGTGCCATGGGATAACCGCGAGGATAGCCTTACCAGGTATGAGGTAGTGTATTTTCACGTCCTCAATGTTAGTAATCTCCCAGTTCAAGACAATCGCTATTCCTTTCG